TCCCTGTGTTTCCAGTTCCTATCTGTACCAGTGTACATCCTCTGGTCTAGCCAGATTTGTAAGGTAAAATTGGGGTCATGATAGTGGCGGGAGGGAAGCATTTAGGAACTAGAGGAAAGTTGTATGCTTCATTGTTGCTGCCCTGCACCCTGACTGGCTCATCTCCTTCCTAGACTGTAGCTCTTAATGGCAGCAGACGACCTCATCTTTCTCCCACAGCAGCTGGTGGGTTTAAGATTTTTAAGTTAGTAGCTCCACATTTAACTCAATGCATCACCAGGGCTCCTTAGATTTACCCTATAGATCAGCAGTTCTCAACCTGTGGGTCCCAACCCCTTTGGGGGTCGAATGACCCTTTCACAGGGGTCACCTAAGACCATTGGAAAACACATTGCGATTTACATTACAATTCATAACAGTAGCAAAATTACAGTTACAAAGTAGCAACAAAAACAGTTTTATGGTTGGTGGTCACCCCAACATGAGGAACTATAATGAAGGGTCATGGCATTAGGAAGGTTGAGAACCACTGCTATAGATTATAACAACTGTGTGTGTTTTTTAATCTTTATAACAATATTTGCCATTTAAAACTATTCTCAAGTGTTAAAATTTGGTGTTGTGCAACCATTGCCCTTTCCCAAATGTTTATCATCTCTCTAAGCAGAAATTCAAGCAATAGTTAATTCTCTTTTTTTTGCAATAGTTAATTCTTAAGTAATAACATGCCCTTTCCTTTTCTGTGCCCCTGATGGTGGTGGTGGTGAAGTGCCATCAAGTTGATTCTAATAGTGACCCTCTGTATTACTACAGCAGGACACCGCCTGGTCCTACACCATTCTCACCGCTATTTTCCATGTTGTTGCAGCCACTGTCAAGTCTGTCCCTCTCTCCCTCTTTTTTTCCCAATTCATCATTTTATTGGGAGCTATTACAGATGTCATAACATTCTGTAATTCAAATAGAGCTTCTACCTCTTTTTTACTGAGCTTCTGTTTTACTGAGTATGATGTCGTCCTCCAGCAGCTGCTCTTTCCTGATAACATGTCCTTTAACATGATAAAATCTCACTATCCTTACTTCTAAGGAACATTCTGGCTGTACTTCTCCCAAAACATATTTGTTTGTTATTTGTGCCGTTCATGGTATAATATTGTTTGCCAGCACTATAATTGAACTTTCAATTGAAAAATTGAATTTTCAATGAACTTTTTGAAGCTTCTTTATATAGTAAAAATTTGAGGAGCCCTGGTGGAGTAGTGGTTACTACTGGCTGCTAACCAAGAGGTCAACAGTTTGAAATCACCACCTGCTCCTCAGGAGAAAGATGAGGCTTTCTACTCCTATAAAGAGTTACTGTCTCAGAAACCGAGGAGCAGTTCTATCCTGTCCTATAGAGATGCTATGAGTCAGATTCAAGATAGCATTGAGTTTGATTTCCAGTTGTATAATGGTATTTAGAAAATGAAATCTTCAATTTCTAAAAAGAACATAGTCTAACTTTCTTTGAAATATAAATAAATAAATGCCTTATTTGGGGTATACATCACTATTTACTATGTAGCTTTCCATTTAAAATACTGCTTTGTTGCTGTTTCCTCTAGTCCCTTTGTATCTAGGTTTATAGCAAAACTAAAAATCTTTGATTCTCTGCAACCATGTTTCCCACCTTAGACAAAACAGTCCCAAAATATTAGACCAAATAGTTTCACTATCTTCAAGCAAGGTTTAACGAGCTCAACTTTTTATACATTTCTGACTAGCTGTTTTGGTCTCAGGAATATGGTTTCTAATTCAGAGATAGAAGGGATAACAATAGTGCCTTGTGCTATTCCTTAAGAAGTTATTTTCCATAAGGTTAGTCCTTGATCAATCATGATGAAATAAAATACAACACTTAAAGTTCTAAAAATCTGTTATTTATATCACAGTACTGTAGCAAAAGGCAAAGAACTTTGGTGGGCGAGGAGATCTTGCCAAAGGATGTGCAGATTTCCCTTTGACTGTAAACCTAATAGGAGCCCTGGTGGCACAGTGGTCACGAGTTGGGTTCCTAACTGCAAAGTCAGCAGTTTGAAACCACTAGCCACTCCAGAGGAGAAACAAGAAGCTCTCTACTTTCAACAACAGTTACACTTTTAGAAACCCATAAGGGCAGTTGTACTCTGTCTTGTAGGGTCACTATGAGTCATGAGTGACTCAATGGCAGGGACTTTCATTTGGTATCGTATACCTAATACTCATGTTACACTATTATTTGATAGAAAGTTAATGTTTCTAGTCAGCTTAGAGTTTAAAAAATTTATTTCTTTAAATAAGCCTCCTCTCCCAATTATGAAACAATAAAGATGCACAGAATAGAGATCTATTTCAATATTTTGGTCTTACTATGGGAAGATTTAAGCAAAGATTATGAATTCACAGAATTATAATTTCAGGACCAGAAGAGATCGACTATACCTAGTCTCAATTTTATGAAATACAGCGCTCCTAATGCAATGATATGTTGGTAAAGACCCAGTTTCTCCTATTATACTTTAATACTTTGGTATGGATATAGAAATGTACAAGAATCTGTATGTTGCTCAGGGATTAAGTAGAATTTCTTTCAAAATTATTAAAATGCTGAGAAAGAACACTTAGACCAGTAGTACTGAAAAAAAGAGCGTGAGGAAGGAAGGAAGCAAACAAAACCAAGATCCTGGTAAAGCAATATTAATAAATGTCAGCATCACCTAGATGCATCACCTAACTCAGCGACTCTGGAGTGAAGCTATTGGTACTTTAATAAGCCCCTAAGAAATGTTGATGCACTAAAACTTGATTATCTTTGCATCTGACAGGGTAAATGAAGAAACTACAAAGGCAATAAATAAGACTTAGAAAGATGAACTATGTACCCATGGTCTCAAGACAGATGAGAAACAGGCTGTCATTCCTGTAGTATTATATTCACCCTTCCCTACTCCATTTTACTAGAGTAGCAACAGAAATGTTGTCTTAATTTTTGCTACCTGCTTATGTGCTCAGCACTGTATTTAAAGTTAGTATTTCAAAATCGTTCTAAGAGCTGCCAATTCTTAAATTTTGACAAATATAATAAAATCAGATGAATGTGAAATTTTGATAGCATATTTTTGGCTGTAGCAAATGACAGAATCTCACATTATTTGGTTTTCAGTATCTGACAATGTTCCGCTGCAATTCATAAAGTTTTCAGTGCTAATTCCTCCAGAGCAGACAGCCTAGCCTGTTCCTTCTTCATAGTCGGTTCTTAGTCTGGTAAGTGATGAAATCTGTTCACTTTGAGTGGCCCTGCTGGTATTTGAAACACCAGTGGCA